CTGAAGCATTTATGCGTCATGAAATTATATACAACGTTATGGTATATGAGTCATGGATCATGAATAAAAACTTCGATCCAGGGTACCAGCGGCCGAATTGGGCATTCTGAGACGAGTCACTCGCCTTACGCGTCTCGACATGGTCCGGAATACAGACATCCGTGAGAGCGTTGGTGTACAGCTGCCGCTTCTTCAGATTCAAAAGTCACAGCTGCGATGATTTGGGCACGTGCTGCAAATGCCTCCAGAAAGGAAGGCGAAGCAACTGTTTCTTGCCCAACCGACCGGCAGAAAGCCCCAACGGACTGCCAAGATTAACCTTGTGTAAATATATAGAAGGAGTCTGTTCCATACCATAATTGTCTTCTAAAGAAGCTCAGACTCCGACACAGGATCAGGAACATTGAAATCACTCTGACGCTTCTCCCTCCGCGACTCGCAATACTTCTTCACTGTTCAGTCTAAGCGCCACCATTTATCGTAATAAGCTTATTCCGACTTCTTAGCCGAATAAATTTTTAGTTGTCAATTTTTTAACAACAGGATATTTTCTTAAAGAAGCGCATCATGTCTTCAAATATTCGAAATATCAGTGGCACAGGAAAGCGCGATTTCTACTGAATTTAGCCGACATTTATAAACTGAAGGAAACTTATAGGGATTACAATAAAAGTTACAGATCATGCATATAATTCAAACGAAGTTATTCACTCACCCTCGAAACTCGAAAGCCGTACCCATATGACCGCCTTAAATCATTTAAAGCTTCTCAGGTAACTACGATACGATCTTCAAGTTAGTACGTAGATAAGTACACATTAAAAAATAATAATCTAAATGGCAAACATCATCAGTTGAACAATAACTCTTTGCCACAATTTCAGCCATACTGATTTAAGAAAATTGCGCCTATCGGATGTTAGTTCATCAAGAAAATAAAGGGCACGGCTGCGCGCCCGATTTTCATTTCATTTTTCAAGAGTTCACTATTCGATATAATGGCTTCTGTCGACTAACTTCCAAAACCTGTATTGTCCCGTATATCTCTTAGTAGTGCATTTTATGGTTTGTAACAAGATCTTTAAGGTAACTGATCTTTTGACTCCATGGTTGGCAACCAAAGTTAGGAAAAAAACTTTATTACAATTATTTTAGTCCTCCATTATGATACAATGAAACGAAAGATTCCCCATCTATTCTGTCCTGCTTTTCATTTATGAGCTGCCGTTCATTCCCTGCTATACAGGTGCAGCCAGGATTGCACCATGTGGGGCGCACAGCCAGAGTGACATTTTTATCTTACCCGTACTTTGAATAATTCATTATACTAGGATGTGTCTAATTATAAATTCAGGATTGGTTCTTTTACGTACCAAATTTAGTTCTAAACTTGGCAACTCATTTACCTGTTTATACCAATATTTATTATAGACAAGTTCTTTAAAGTTTCCGATTGTGCATCATCTGCCTTTTGGGAGAGACATATTGCTGGTACGACATTTCAATATATGTCACTGATTATGTGTATGCTGGTCGGATACCAATAGGTGGATCCAGCATTATCCTAAACGTTGGTTATTTCAACATAATAAATTGTATATACGCCATAATTTCGGACAGGACATGTCAAACCGTTCCCATTGATAAAACGATGGATTTCTTCTGCCCTATGATTCCGTAAACATGAAATAGATAAAAGGAGGAAATTTAAAATTCTTATCAAGGACGCATTCCTGGCCGGTACTGATTCGATTTAGACAGAAAATGATGTGAGTCAAAATTATCAATGCCTTTGAAGAATTTTATGTTCTCTACGGTAGCACATCACTTGCCACTGACGTTCGATATGCAGCAATTCTAGACAAAGTATGCAATTTTGATTTTACAAGTATGGATTTTATAAGCCTTGGATTACAGTCTTTGCTTCTCCAGATTGAGAAGTCACAGCTGAGGCATGCGTTGCGAATGCCTCCAGAAAGGAAAGTTAAGCAACTGTTCGTTGCAAATCCGACCGGCAAAAGGCCCAGGAGACGGCCAAGATTAACCTGTTGCAAACATATGGAAGGAGTTTGTTCCAGATTGCATTTGACTTTTGCCGAAGCTCAGACTCTGGCACAGGATCGGGAATGTTGGAAGCACTGTCTGACGCGTCTGCCTCC